ATATGCACTAATATTTTAAAATCCTTTGCAGTTCCCCATGCTGAAAACCTTATAATCACTCTGTTTCCTATTCCTTACCATTCACATCTAGTTGATAACTGGATCTTATTGAGATCATTCCCAAATACCTAAGAAATGACCCTTATTTTTCCCCCACAACATTACTTTAGTTCCTGCTCTCTCCTTGGCACTTTTTGCAAGAGTTTCTTCATTATCAGCATAACCTATGCCCTGTGTCTCATGTAATCACTGAGTGCTGATGTCTCTCTAAACACAAATCTAAAACAGAGAGCTGACTGTGCTATTCCTTGGCTTTAAAAGCATTCAGTAGCTTGATATCATGGGAGCAGTTTTCAGACTGTTTCAGGTCCTGGAACTCTTTCTTCAAATAAAATCCTTCTAGGAAATCCAACTTACAGAGTAGATAAAAGCAGAGGTTCCCTGTGAAGCAGGGTTCGGTGCCACAAGCTTGGCCAATCAACTTCCCTCTCTGTGTTTACAAAGAAATTATTCCTTTTCCAAACCAAGAGTTCTGTGAAAACTTACAATGAACATAGAGCATTAAAGACAATTAGTTCTGTAGAAGAAAAAGTATTTAGCTTGGTTTCACTCAACATACCCAAAATTTTATTGGACTCAAAAACTTTTAACGATTTCATAGAATATCTAGTAATATCTCGTGAGATGCTATTGTTTTATAAGGCCAGTGAGAGACAGTCACCATCCAATGGTTAGAAGCAAGGTCCCTGAAACCCAGAGTGCTCTGAGTCACCATCTAGGTACTTTGGGCATGTTAATTAAGCTCCCCATTCTTCAATTTTCTCATATCTATAATGGGGATATTAGAATTTATTTTGTGAGGTGGTTATAAAAATCAGTTATGTCAGTGTTGACTGTTATTGTGGAACATTCTGAGGATGTTACTCATACAGGATCAGTATAAAGCTAATAGTATTGTTAATTGGTCTTCCTATTACTGTTCAGGAAATCAATACCACTGTGAAATTTTTAAAAATTCAACTACTATACTCCCATGGCATATGCTACACAGAGATGCCATGTGAGAAGAAACTGCTTCAAAATTAGCTCTGGCTGGAATGGCTCAGTGGATTGAGTGCCAGCCTATGAACCACAGGGTCACTGGTTTGATTCCCAGTCAGGGTGCATGCCTGGGTTGTGGACCAGATCCCTGGTGGTGGGCACATGACAGGCAACCACGTATCGATGTTTCTCTTCCTCTCTTTCTCCTTCCTTTCCCCTCTGTCTATAAATGAATGAATGAATGAATGAATGAATGCATGAATGAATGAATGAATGAATGAATAAATAAATAAATAAATAAATAAATAAATAAATAAATAAATAAAATCAATGCCTGCAGTTCATAGCATCTGCCCTTGAATCTTCCATGTTGGGGTTCATAGGGAAAGAACTATTTCTCTGCCTACAGCATCTTTATCTCTCCGGCAGTTTTTACCTTTGGCCTTTATGTGAATTCTTGCCTGCTCATCTGTTTTAAAGGTAATCTCAAGAGAATTTTTCATATGCTGTTTAGCTTGCATTCTGAGTATCTTAAACATCTCTCTAAGCATGCCAAAAATCTACCTAATTGTGTTGTCACACAGTAACAGGCAAACAGAAAATTAATTTTGTTCTTACAAATTTCATCCTGAGAGCACTTCCAGAAATATTCTATTTTTAAAGTGGCATTTCGAGTATCCTTTAATGAGATATATCCTTTCCTTTGACTAAAATATAAGCCCCTATTATTTTTGTGCCTATTACTCAAAACATGCTTTTTAAAAAACTATGTCTCTGTGTGATGCTATAAGAATTCATTATCACAACTTTGTGATGCTCAGCAGAGTTAATGACCTGTTCAAAGCTATTTATGCTGAAAGGCAGCAGAATGACATACAAAGGATCCTGTCATCTTTTTAAAATAGTTTAGCTCAGTTTGTCAGGTTACTGGCTAGAGAGGGAAAAATCAACATCTACAGTGTTTAAGGAAAGATACCTATTTAAGTGTAGGTATTAAAGAATAAAGTTAAAAAATGAATTTCTTCTTGTAATCTATTATTTACCAGACATATGTAACAGAAATAATAAGAACTTACTCTAGATAAAATGCACTCATGATCATTTTTACTAATTTTTTTCACTTGATTAAAGTGTGTAGTGGATAAGGGATTCTCTAGAACGTTTCCATGAACTATCTAAAAGGGACATAAAAAACTGGTACATAGATGAACTCATCACAACACAGGACTGGTTCTTTGAAGACTCTGAAATTTGATTAGGTTGGCATACATAGAAAAAATAAGACAGGTTCAAACCAAAGCAAACTCCATTGGCAAGACCAGGACATCCACCACTGAAGGGACAACTTGATGGGTGGTCAACTTATAAGAAGTGTCCAAGAGGAAATGAAAATCAAGAAATAGGAAGTAGTTGTATGGTTCGAGTGAAAATTTGCCAGACTGAGGCCCCATCACCCATCATGGAACATGTGTTACAGGGAATAAATAGGTTATTTGCATTTTGAGGCCTCAATTGGTCAGAGTCTGCATGGGAATCATTGATGTCTAGCTCCTCAGATATTCTTTATCTGTGTCTAGGCTAACTGTCTCCTCTTCTCTCATATTTCTCCAGGAGGATGACATTATCAATTAGAATCTATCTTACCAAATTATAATCACAGTCCAGTTCTGCCTCACGGAGGAAACATCCTGATTTTTTGGTATAGTTTTGCCTTATTTCTGATCTCCTTGGCCAGCCATTTACAAATCAGCTCCTGCAGTCCTGGTACAGATGAGCAAAAATTCATTTGAGGCAAATTTTGTTAACTAAAGTCTCATGGGGTAATTTTATTTTTTTATGCCTTTGCTTAATTTCCCATCTTCTCTGTCTTCTTCACATGCTACTTAATGGTGTTATTACTTTCCCTCTATTCTCCTCACAGGGCAGACACTTGAATTTTTAGAGGGCAGACTTGCATTTACAGCTTTAGACAAGGATGGCCATAAGCTTCAGGTCAAGCATTTTTGTGATTCTCAACCTCTTGAATAATTTCTAAATGTAATTCTATAGAATAATCACGACATTCTAAATCTGACATTTCAAGTACAAAATGTGTGTTAAATGAGCCTGGCTGTAATGATAATATATTCACTTTCTGAGCTACCAAGTGGTTTTCTGATTTCAGCATAAGTTCAGATAAGGCACACATGGATGGAAAAACCACTTGTTTTCTTTATCTGAGGAGTACACAGTTGATAGTGATGTAAAAACCAAATTCTTAACCTTTCTGAAGAATGTCTTTTCTTCTTAAGCTTCATGTTTCCTGTTCATATCAATCTTGGGGCTCTGAATTCCTTTTGCCTATTGCACTTTGGACGTAGAAAAAATGACTGGAGTAAATCTAGAATGTCTAGACCCTGACTTGGGCAGTTTTCTCAGAGAGGTTTGGCTCATGGACTGGCTCATGGTCAAGTTTGGTTCTGAGTAATTTTAGTTCAGGTTTGGTGTACTATGTATAGAACAAACATGTGGGGACTTTGGAAAGTTAGTAAGGCTCTGGAAAAGATCCTAAACATCCAGATCTCCTGAGGTTTTTTGGGTCAGCCTAAGTAGCCTTTAAATGAGTAACTAGTTATGCTTGGGAACCTGGCAAACCAAGTGTAACTTACATATAGATTGTAGCTCATGGACCTGGGGGGCAGGCGGAAGCTGAGGGACAGTCTCATGGGATGGTGGCAAATCATGAAACCAGGTAGATCACTAATATTCATCATTTTAAAGGGGATATATAGAGAGAATTCCTGTAAAAAGCCAATGAAAGCCAGTGCTCAAGAGTTAGGATAAGGGCCAGGGCCCAGTGAGCTTCAGATGTTAATAAGGGACTAGTTTTAGAACATCTATTTTGCAGTACGCACATAACTAGAATAATTCACAAATAGCCATGTACGTCATGAGATATTAACACTCATCTTGAGAATAAAACATCACCCAATACAGCTGAAGTTCCTGTGTTCTCCTCTCTGATCATATTTCTCTGAATTCCCTTGTATTTATAATACGAATGCATGTATTCCTAAATTAATATTGTTGCAGTTATTTCCTTCATCTGTATGCTATTATTCTGCATTAAGTTTTCTGTAACTTGAGTTTTTAATTCAATATTATGTTTCTGATATATCTTCAGGCTGATACATGCATCACTGGTTAGTATTTGTTAGCAGTGCTTTTCATGCTGTGGTCTTTGTTGTAGGGAGGGAGAAGAAGCCATTTAAGGGATGTATCCTGTTGTGGACAGACAAGACTACATACTTGATGTACTCAAGTTATGACCAATTCATCCACAAGTTAGCTGCAAGTGTGGTAATGAGATCTGGCTAGTAAAGGATACTAATTATAACAAAGAAAATGGAATTTGTATAGAGGACCTGGAATCAACTAAGTATAAATAATATTTCTTGGTAATAAATATAAGATATGGACATAATAAGTGCATACTTACTGATTAAAATTGTTTTTTTAGGTATATCACTGTTTCAAAAACTTAGACACTCTTACAAGCATTATGGGGGAAATGACCTAGTTAATTTTTCTCTTCTTTGTTTTCTCCACCTTTTCAGTGTTTCTGGATTCTCCTCCAGTGGATCTGATTTCTGCTCTGTAGCCTTCTGAAGGATTGACATTGAGCATCATTAGTGAAACTTGGCTGCCACCTGACTGTACACAACAAGAGAGACTTTGGAGATCATTTTTAGTTCAAATAATAATGACTTTCTTGGAATGTATTCTCAGTGGAGCCTGTTTTCTGTGTAGCCTGGAAGAACACCTAACTAACATTGACAATTCTTCAAAGACCTTATAAAAACCACTCTACATCAAACAACTGAATGACTCTAGGTTTTTCAAGGAGATCCTAAGAACTGAGAATATCAATTCACCTGGAAGATTCGGCCACTGCTACTCAGAGCTGCTGCTAAAATACCATGTCTAAGAACTCGGAGTTCATCAATCTCTCATTTTTATTAGATCATGAGAAGGAAATGATCCTGGGAGTCTTAAAGAGAGATGAATATTTGAAAAAAGTCGAGGAGAAGAGAATAAGGTAATATACTCTTATCTTAGTGCCCTCCTTGACTGTTTTCTGTTTCTTTAAATCAATACAGATTAGATCTAGGGCAACTGCAACCACATATAAGACAAATGTTGGCCAGTGATTTTACTGATTCCCAGCCACAGGTCAAATATTAGAAAACATTTTTGGTACTTTGTTATTTAGCTAGACAGGAGAATTGAGCTAATAGTATAGCATTGATGAGAATGTATATTTGGTAGTAATGTCATTACCAGTAGCTAAGTGAAAGAACTGGCCAGGTTTTAGTTTCAGCTCTGGGATGTATTAGTTACATGACCTGGAATAAGTTATTCAATTTCTCCATGCCTTGGTTTCCTCATCAATTAAATAAGGATGATAATAGTATCCACCTCATAGGGTTGTTGTAAATGTTAATGAAGATAATACATGTGCAGAACCTGATACCTAAGTATACAATGAATATTAGCTATTATTTATTTATAATGCTTTTTTCAGATCAGTCTTACTGGGAATTTGCCTCCACCACAGCTCAGGGAATAAGAAGGGAATCTGGAGAGTGAAATATACCTACTGTACCCCAGAAAGCACCTAAATTTCCTCAAATATGTTTCTGTGTGAGAAAAGTTGAGAAATGTGGGCAAAGCTGAATTTCACATAAGTTATAGGCAGGATTGATATTTGCTGGATCCCCAGATATGACCTTGCCTATGTTTTAGCCAGCATCCATACTGATTGGTTGCATCATTTGTTCTAAATGGTCATACTGGCATTCTGGTTGGTCACTGCATCCACTGTGATGGTTACCTTCTTGTTAAATATATTTGGTTATTACATATCATTCCTTAATAGAAAAGCAGAAGATGCAGCTTTTATGTCTTGTATGCTCCCAAAACTACAATCAGAAGCTTTATTTATTTTACTTGAGGAGGAAACTTGTGATAAAATTATCTTCACATGTTGCAAAAATATTCAATGTACCTAAAGCAACTAGGATCCTTAGAATTGGAAATGCATTGAAATATTCTTAATTAATGCTTATTTTATAGTTTAGGGCCCAGAAATTTTATTTCCATTATTCTAAGATATTCCAACAATTTGCAAGAAACAAAGGCTTTGATTAAAATTATTGCACTTTTTCTATGCTTAGAATTCAAGTGCAAATAGTCCTGACTGGTGTGGCTCAGTGGTTGAATGCTGGCCTGTGAATCAAAGGGTCGCCCATTCGATTCCCAGTCTAGGGCATATGTCTGGGTTGTGGGCCAGGTCCTCAGTGTGGGATATGCTAGAGGCAACCACACATTGTTGTTTCTCTCCCTCTCTTTCTCCCTCCCTTCCCCTCTGTGTAAAAATAAATAAATAAATAATTTTAAAAAAAGAATTCAAGTGCAAATAAAATGTAGTTAATGATCTTAAAGCAAGAGTGTCAAAATCATTGTCATAAGGGCTGGTGGTTGCCTTCAAAGGGCCAAATGTAGAGCTCCTTGCCCCTAGTTGAGGAGTAGTTACATTTACACAGTCCTAAAATTAGCTTTGGCCCTTTGAAGGCAACTACAAGGCTGATGTGGCCCCAGGGAAAATGAGTTTGACACCCCTGTCTTACAGAAATCAGAAATGATATTTTTGGCATTGGTATTTCAGTCATGAAAAGTTGTTGAATTTTCTAATGTGCTGCAAAAAACAATATTGTTTACAGAGGACAAGTACTAACCAGCTATTGATGACATTCTTAAAAGAATGAAAAATCATTCGCTTCAGGAAAAAAATTAATAACCAAACCCCAGGAAACATTGAAGTATAAGAGTAAACCTTTGTGGCCCTGGCTGGTGTAGCTCAGTAGATTGAGTGCGGGCCTGTGAACCAGACAATCGAGGTTGATTCCCAGTCAGGGCACATGCCTGGGTTGCAGGCTGGTTCCCTGCAGGCCAGTTCCCAGCAGGGGTTGCACGAAAGGCAACCGTACAGTGATGTTTCTCTCCCTCTCTCCGTCCCTTCCCCTCTAAAGATAAATAAATAAAATCTTAAAAAAAAGAGTAAGCCTTTGTTCAGGATATTTGTTTTTGTCATTCTCAATAACTTTTAGTAATCATCTATTGTACTTCCTCTTCCTTTTTCTCCACTTTTCTTCCCTTTTCTTTTTCCCTTTATTTCTGCAAAGAAATTTAGCTAAACAGTATAATATGCAAAAGATCTATCAAGAATACGGTTAGTGATTTTCTTGCTCTTTAAACTTTTTTGAGGATTTGAGTGTTTTTTTCTGTTTTGAGTGTGTTAAATGCATTGCCTCATTTTGTCCTGAGCTACCGATATATGAGCCCAAGCCAGATGACTCAGGTTCTGCTACTTGAGAAGCCATGCCAAAGGCAGAAGCATGGTGTTTAAGTGCACACTGTTGAAGAATACATCCACATTTGTTGACTGAAATCCTGGCTGAACCATGAAATCTTTGTGTCACCTTAGACAAGTTACTTCCATAGATAAATCTGGTTTCCTCTTTTGATAAAACAGAAATAACAATATTAGCTACCTCGTAAGGTTGTTGCAAGGACTAAATAAGGTGATGTTATAAAAAACTATGGTACATTTACACAATGGAATTCTATGCAGCAGAAAGAAAGAGGGAGCTCCTACCCTTTGCAACAGCTTGGATGGAACTAGAAAGCATTATGCTGAGTGAAATAAGCCAGGTGTTGAAAGACAAATACCATATGATCTCACCTTTAACAGGAACCTAAACAAAACGAACAAGCAAGCAAAATATAACCAAAGTCACTGAAATAGAGAACAGGCTGACAGGGATCAGAGGGGAGAGGAAAGGGAATTTCAGAAGAAAGGAAAGATTTACAGGAACAAGTATAAAGGACACATGGACAAAACCTAAGGGGGGTGGAAATGGGAAGGAAGTGGGGAGCACTGGAGGGGGTGGGCTGGGATGGGAGTAAAAGACAGAAAACTGTACTTGAACAATAATTAAATTTTAAAATGCAAATAAAAGTATTGTTAGTAAAAAAAGAACTTAGATCAATGCTTACATGTAGTACGCACTCAATAATTTCTGGCTGTAATTATTATTTCTATGGTTGGTGTGTTTGGCTCTTGATTTACTAGTTGTAGTAACCACTATCAGTGCTCCATTCATATTCTCTAGAGTCCCTTGTTGGATCTGTGCACTCATTTCCCAGTTTCCACTTTACTTCTAAGGGCTGGCACCCACTAACGTTTTTAGATAACGATCTTTGGGTGGTTGGAGTTACCCATAGGCCTAGAGAGCTAGGGTGCCAGGTAAACTTCAGTTTATGTCCCTGTTGGGCAGCCCCAAGCCAGTAGCTGACATACAGAAACACTTTGCCTTGAGGCAAGACAGACCTCAGTGTGGCTTCTGCTTCAGAACTCCCTAGAGGATTATGCTGAAGCTGGACTTCATCTTTGCTTAGGCCTTTCACCCCTCCCTCTCCTGCCTTACTTACTCACTTACAGGGTTCTCCTGAAAGCACTCCTTAAATCATTTGCATAATAAATGCACATCTTGGAATTAGCTTTTAGAAAACAACTAGGGGTTTGCCAGACCTGATAGGAACTTAATCTTTATTCCTAGATATCCTCCAAAGTTATCAACACAAGAAATTTATAGAGTAATAGATTTTATTGCACAGGTAAACTTTTGTGCTCACTAGTACAATAATTGTTTTCAGCATTCTACAGAGGCATAGCTTGATATTTGGTGGGAGTGTAGAGGAAGAAGTAATCAATTATAAATAAAATAGAAATGGAAGAAATGGTTTCACAGGAGAGGTAACATTTGAGCTTAGCCATGAAATGTGAAAAAGATTTTGATGCTGGCAAATATGTCAACTGAGTTTCAGCGGATTACCATGAACCACAAAATGATCTTCAGACTCTGCTAATAGGTTTCAGAAGGAAATGGAAGCCAAAGGGAAAAAATTAGGCATTATTTTGATTACAAAGAAGAAACTTATCTAGAAAGTTAGTAAACTGGAGGTTGGGAAGCAGTGGATTTTTGTTTGTGTATTTATGTGCTCAATCAAGCTTTACTTAGACATTAAGAAAATAGAATAATGGAAGAATGTGAAAATTGTATTGAATCAACATTTTACAGGTCTATCACCCAACTATGCTCCGCAGTCCACATAGCCACTGAAGTGTGGCAATAATTAAGGTGGGACCAGTCTCTGCATGCTCCTAAAAGTGCTATGCACCCACAGGCATATGAGGAGCCTGATTATTACCACTATGTAATGGCCTATGGTTTGGGGAGAGGCATCTGCCCATTATCAGAGCATTCTAGGTTCATCCAAAGAGGCTCACATAGATTTATTTTTTTTCCTTTACTCCAAGCAGGAAGGAATAGTAGAAGACATCTACACATGGGTTTCGACTATTAGAGAGTAAGAGTATTTTAAATGTGCTCTGTGAAGAACAAATCAATTAGATTCATTGATGCTTTAATACAATGAAGAAAGAGGGAAAAACTGATGCAAAGAAAATTGAGCTATCAAGAGTAATTACAAATGTAAAAAAATACCTTCCATTTGGAAGCATAATATAAAAATATTTGTTGATCGTTTTGTACTTTAGATTTTTCTACCTTTTGAAGGACTCAGCCTAACATAACAAAGTACATGGCTCATAGTAACGAATACCCCTCACATTTCACTAACAAATTCTTACTGTACTTGATCTTCTGCACCTAAAACCAAATAATACTAAATGTCTACTTTGTGGTATTGGCCTATATAAGAAATCTTTAACTTATAATTAGGCTATTCATTTTAGCAATTCCCTTGTAGGCTTTATTTTCACTAAGATGATGTCATTTTCATTTGGCCACAATGCCTGAAAACATGTCTAGACTTGGGTTCTCTTTGGTACCTATTCTTGGATTTGTCTCAATGATTAACTCTATTCATTTCCTCACAACTTATATTTCTCTTTTCTTCCTCCCTACCCAACTCTCAGTTTTGCTCATCTCCAGCAGTGGCATTTTAAAGAAT